GAAACGAACCACTTTCAATTTTTCTTCCATCGGAATCGTTTGCTCATTCTGTCATCGTCACTAGCAGCGTCTTTGTCTCCCCATCTCGTCGCGGTAAGCCATTCCCTCAATCACATCTTGCAATTTTCAAAAAAGGGGTTTTGATTTTGAATGGAGTTTCTTGGGTTTTCGTTTTGCGAGATGATAGGGTTTCGATTTGTACTACGAATTTGATATGAATGTACCGGGAATTGATAACATTTGGAGTCAATTTTGAAATTAGGGTTTGAAGTAAAATTAATTTGGGGTTTTGATTTGTAATGGGTTTTGGGTTGCGAAATGTTTTGGTTTGTACTAGTATTATGGTTTGAAAAGGAGATGTGTCGGGGTTTGATATGAATTAGTGTTGATTTCGAAAGAGTTTTGATTTCGAAGGAGATGTCGGGTTTTGATTTTGATATATGTATCGGGTTTGAAATTAGAGTTTGAAGAAAAATCAATTTAGATTTTGGTTTCAATTGGAGATGTATGGACTTGTTCTTTTTCTTTCTCTGTACTAGGATTTCGAATGTGTTTGCAGTTTTGATATGAACTGGGAGTAGATGTATATGGTTTGAAATTAGGTGTTTTGTGTGTGTTTTTGATTTGCTTCTTGTGGATTTTGCAGAAATGGCTCCTAAGACCAAGGGAGGAATGTCGAAGAAAGGGACTTCAAAGGGATTCACTTCAAAGAAAGGGACTTCAAAGGGAATGACTTCAAAGACTTCTACTAGTAGCTTCCAAAGATATGCTGTGAGCGATTCAAATAATGGGTCAGAATCAGAATCTGGAAATGATCCTACGCCATCACAGGAGATGGGTCAGAATCAGAATCTGGAAATGGGTCAGAAGGTATGTAACTGCTTTTGGACAAGTGTAGTTTTGCGTAGGACTACTAGTACTACTAGGGAGAACTGTGAGTAGTTAGGATGACTGGTATTACTAAGGAGGATTGTGAGTATTTAGGATGACTGGTACTACTAGATTTAGTACTATGTATAACTGTGAGTATTCAGGATGACTGGTACTGCTAGCTTTTAGTACTTAGGATAACTGGTAGTACTAAAGTGCAATGGTTTGATTATGCTTGGATTTTGTTTGGATTGCAGGAAAAAGAGGATTCAGAACCCCAACCGTCGGCACAGGAGAAAGAAGATTCAGAACCCCAACCGTCGGCACAGGAGACAGAGGATTCAGAACCCCAACCGTTGGCACCTCGGAAAT